TAGAGACGGGGTTTCACCATGTTGACCAGGATGGTCTCAATCTCTTGACCTCGTGATCCACCCGCCTCGGCCTCCCAAAGTGCTGGGATTACAGGCTTGAGCCACCGCGCCCGGCCTACGACTTAAATTTTTGTATTTGGAGAGAGGGATACAAAATCTGATTTTTCTGCTCAACGTGATGGTTCACACCTGTAATCCCAGTGCTTTGGGAGGCCAAGGTGGAAGAATCACTTGAGCCCAGGAATTTGAGAGCAGTCTGGGCAACATAGCAAGCCTCTGTCTCTAAGAAAAAAAAAAAAAAAATCTTTTTAATTAGCTGAGCTTGTTGGCTTACACCTGTGGTCCTAGCTACTTGGGAGGCTGAAGTGGGAGGATCGCAACAGCCCGGAAGGTCAAGACTGCAGTGAGCCATGATGGCACACCACTGCACTCCAGCCTGGGCAACAGCACAAGACCCTGTCTCAAAAAAAAAAAAAAAGAAAGAAAGAAATCTGTTTTCTCATTCTTTCCCTGTTTTAGATTAACAGCTCTTAAAATATTTTCCTTTGTAGACATGAGGTTAATTTCAAGATATACTGAAATCTGCTTTCTATGGAATAAAGACAAAATTTCTCTAGTGTGTCTTCGTCTTGTTATTTTATCTTTTTGAATATACATGTTTTTCCACGTATCCTGTAGTAGCAATTTCACAGTTTTTTGCAAGATTTTATGCCAAGGCCTCTTAGATGAGCATCAGCGTCACTTGGTAAATACCATAAATGGTAAGTGTTTGCACCCTTCCTCCCAAACTTACTGTTAAAAACCATATCAACTCATAGTCCACTGTGATATACCGTACTTGACTTTCAGGAAACATTATTCTGTGCTCTATTGATATTCTTAAATTAGTTGTATTGTTGTCATTTTTTCTTGTGTCTCTTTACTTTCTTAGGTCTACTGTTTAAAAGATGCACATTGCTGCTACCCACCAAGGAAAGGCTAAAGTACATTCACAAGATACTCACAGAAGTAAGATCATACTTCTAAATTAGTTTACAATCTTGATTTCCACTAAAGATAATTTATTATTATCTTACGCTCATTTTACTCTATATTAGTAGGATTTCATGAATTAGCACTAAAAAATTGATTTGTGATAATCTAATACTTTACCAAGTACTTAGAGATTATATAATGTCAAAATATAGTAATCTTTTACTTATTATAAAACAATTTTCATATGTAACTTAGTACATCATTCAAGTTTATTAGGTTTCCCACAGTATACAGCTTATTTACACTAAATACAAATCCTAAGGAAGTTTTAAAGTAGTGATTTAGATATTGTATTAAAGTGAAATAATTTCTGAATGTTGCAAATTTATTGTTTAAATGTATATAAACATAGGAAAGCGTTTTTAATATGTAAAACGACAAACCTTTTATGATAATAGACTTGGAAATGTGTATCAATATGTTTGGGCATAGTCTCTTTATAAGACTCAGTTTTAATATACAAATCTAAGCACATATCCAACTCTGATGGTTCAGTTCCACACTCAGTGATATCCACTGTTTTTGATGGACTTTTTCATGTCAGCATTTGCATTGAGTTCTGGTCTATATTATTGCAGCAGCTTCCCAGATGATCTTTCTGCCATCCAATTTACTGGATCCAAACCCTTCTGTGTGCTGAATCAAGATTAATCTTCCTAAGAGGCATCACACTCATCAACATAACTTTCTTTTTTTTTTCTTTTTTTTCTTTTTGGGACAGAGTGTTGCTCTGTCACCCAGGCTGGAGTGCCACAGTGGTACAATCACTGCAACCTCTGCCTCTCAGGTTCAAGTGATTCTCCTGCCTCAGCCTCCCAGGTAGCTGGGATTACAGGCACATGCCATCATACCCAGCTAACTTTTTCTTTTTTAGTAGAGATGGGGTTTCACTGTGTTAGGATGGTCTCAAGCTCCTGACCTCATGATCTGCCTGCCTTGGCCTCCCAAAGTGCTGGGATTACAGGCATGAGCCACTGCACCCAGTCAACATAACTTNATATTCATTTAGACTGCTATATCAGACTACAGTCAACACTGCATCCATGGGTTCCACAACATGGCTTCAATCAACCTCAGATTAAAAGCATTTGATTTGCCGGGCACAGTAGCTCACGCCTATAATCCTGGCACTGTAGAAGTCCAAGGCAGGTGGATCACCTAAGGTCAGGAATTCTACACCAGACTGGCCAACATGGCGAAACCACATCTCTACTAAAAATACAAAATTTAGCCAGGCGGGCCTGGTGGTGTCTGTAATCCCAGCTACTTGGGAGGCTGAGTCAAGAGAATTGCTTAAACCCAGGAGGTGGAGGTTGCAGTGAGCCAAGATTGCACCATTGCACTCCAGCTTGGGTGACAGAGCAAAAACTCCATCTAAAAAACAAAACAAACTTTCAATGGCTACTCAATTTTTTGACAAGATAGGGTCCAAAGTCCATTGCTGGCCAAGTACAGTGGCTCATGCCTATAATCCCAGCATTCTGGGAGGCTGAAGCAGGAGAATCATTCAAGCCCAAGAATTTGAGACCAGCCTGGGCAACATAGTGAGACCACATCTCTCCCAAAATTAAAAAAAACAAAAAACAAAAAAACAATTAGCCAGGTGCACTGGCCCTGGCTGTGGTCTCAGTTATTTGGGAGGCTGAGGTGGAAGGATTGGCTTGAGACCGTGGGTTGGAGGCTCCACTGAACTCTGATCATGCCACTGCCCTCCAACCTGGATGACAAAGTGAGACCCTGTCTCAAACAAACAAAAACAAAGCCCATTGCTGATATTTACAGTTTTCCCCACAATGCCACCTTATTTTCCACTTCTTTGAGCCTAATTAAACTGGTCATTCAAATAAACATTTTTGTACGTGCATACAGTTTTGTTCTTTTTGTTTCTCTCCAAATCTTTCCATTCTTTCCATCTAAATTTTAAGACGTTGCTTATTTCACATTGTCTTCATAAGTTTTTCTGATCATTCCCAAATGTATCTTTATCCTGTTTTTTGTTTGTTTGTTTGTTTGTTTTTGAGATGGGAGTTTCACTCTTGTTGCCCAGGCTGAAGTGCAGCAATGCGATCTCAGCTCTCTCCTCCAGCCTGCAACCTATACCTCCCAGATTCAAGTGAATCTCCTGCCTAAGCCTCCCAAGTAGCTGGGATTTCAGGTTCCCTCCACCATGCCCGAGTAATTTTTGCATTTTTAGTAGTGACGGGGTTTTATCACGTTGGCCAGGCTGGCCTCGAACTCCTGACCTCAGATGATCCACCTGCCTCAGCCTCCCAAAGTGCTGGGATTGCAGGCATGAGCCACTGCACCTGGCATATCCTGTTTTCATACTGTCTGATAACATTTATACATATTCTAACCTGAATTATTATAATAAATTCACATGTCTGTATCTTATTTTCTTAAACTGTGGACCAGGTGTGGTGGCTTACACCTGTAATCCCAGCACTCTGGGAGGCCAAGGCGGGTGGATCACCTGAGATCAGGAGTTCAAGACTAGCCTGGCCAACATGATGAAACGCCATCTCTACTAAAAATATAAAAAAATTAGCCGTGCATGGCGGTGCACATCTGTAATTCCAGCTACTCAGGAGGTTGAGGCACCAGAATCACTTGAACCTGGAGGCAGAGGTGCAGTGAGCTGAGATCGTGCCACTGCACTCCAGCATGGGCAACAGAGCAAGACTCTGTCTCAAAAAATAAAAATAAAAAATTATTATTATTATTAAATAAATTATGAACTCCTTGAGAGTAGACACTTTTATACTTCTTTTATAATCCCCACCTATGTAACACAGTGCAGATCAGAATAGGTACGGAAAAAATTCTTGCTTATTTCCATTAAATTTTAATGTCAAACCATTGTTCTACCATTGTCAAACTATAGTTACACTGAAAAGGAGGCATTAACAGTTGTTCTCTTTACAGGTTTCCTGCTTTAAATTCAGTGGCTGTGCAGCTCCTATGCAGTGTTTAGGATTCACATGTTATGGCATGTTTTTACAGGTACTTTTTTTTAATGAGAGAAGAAAAGGGCTACCTTTTGAACTTCAGAGTATGCAATCTCTCTTTTCATAGGTTAATAAAGTTATAACAATCTTAAAAAGAGCAAAATAAAATTATAAAGATTGAGAATGTATTAATCTAATAGTGTGTTTGCTATCTCAGATTTTCATTTTGAGTTTCTCAGAGGTAAAAAAATGTTTGACATTTATTTATCCCCCAAACCATTCTATATCCTGAATGAAGGTTATTCCTCCTAAAGAATTGGTATCCTTGGCTGGGCACGGTGGCTCATGCCTATAATTCCAGCACTTTTGGAGGCCGAGATGGGTGGATCACGAGGTCAAGAGTTTGAGACCAGCTTGACCAACATGGTGAAACCCTGTCTCAACTAAAAATAGAAAAATTAGCCGGGCGTGGTGGCATGCTCCGATAATCCCAGCTACTTTGGAGGCTGAGGCAGGAGAATTGCTTGAACCCAGGAGACCGTTGTAGTGAGCCGAGATCACACCACTGCAGATATCTATATCTGTCTGTTGTCCAGGCTGGAGTGCAATGGCACGATCTTGGCTCACTGCAACCTCGGCTTCCCAGGTTCAAGCGATTCTCCTACCTCAGCCTCTTGAGTAGCTGGGATGGCAGGCGCCCACCACCACACCCAGCTAATTCTTTTTTGTGTGTGTATTTTTAGTAGAGATGGGGTTTCACCATGTTGATCAGGCTGGTCTTGAACTCCTAACCTCAAGCAATCCACCCGCCTCGGCCTCCCAAACTGCTGGGATTATAGGCGTGAGCCACCACACCTGGCAACATGTATTGACTATTTTAAATCTACAGCAACCTTGTGAGATAGACACTGCACCCATAAGAATCTTGCTCTGCTCAGCCTACCAGCCCCCAGCTCCTACCCACCCAGATTCCAGGGGTTTAAGCCCTCCTACTAGTCCTCTTCCAAGACAGATTTTTCCTATTTAATTTTGTTTTTTACTTGTTTCTTTCTTTCTTTAGGATATGTAATACATACGTATATATTCATGTACAATTCCAAGGGTACAAAATGTATAAAGTAAAAAGTTAGTCTCCCTCCTTGTCCGCTGAGTTCCCTTCACCAGAAATAATTACTGTTACAGTTTCTTGTATGTCCTCCTACAGGGAATAAGATTAATTTTTATTAATTAATTAATTTCTGAGGCCCAGCCTCGCTCTGTCACCCAGGCTGGAGTGCAGTAGTGTGATCTCAGCTTGCTGCAGCCCCTGCCTCCCAGGTTCAAGCAATTCTCCTGCCTCAGACTCCCAAATAGCAGGGATTACAGGTATGCGCCACCATACCCAGTTAATTTTTGTACTTTTAGTAGAGACAGGGTTTCGCCATGTTGGTCAGGCTGGTCTCAAACTCCTGACCTCAGGTGATCCTCCTGCCTCAGCCTCCCAAAGTGCTGGGATTACAGACATTAGCCACCACAACTGGCCAGATTATTATTATTATTATTTTTTTTTTTTTTTTTGAGATGGAGTCTCAGTCTGTTACCCAGGCTGGAGTGCAGTGGCACAATTTCGGCTCACTGCAACCTCAGCTTCCTGGATTTAAGTGATTATCCTGCCTCAGCCTTCCAAGTAGCTGGGATTTCAGGCACCCGCCACCGCGCCTGGCTATTTTTTTTTTTTTTCTTTTTTCTTTTTTGTTCTTGTTCCGAATAGTAATTTTGTTGTTGTTGTTTGTTTTGTTAGTAGAGACAAGGTTTCACCACGTTGGCCAGGCTGGTTTTGAACTCCTGACCTCAGGTGATCCACCTGCCTTGGCCTCCCAAAGTGCTAGGATTACAGGCATGAGCCACTGTGCCCAGCCAGTACGTTTTTTGGTTGTTCACATTCAAAAGTCATAAATAGCTGGGCACAGTGATTCATACCTGTAATTCCAGCACTTTGGGAGGCCGAGGCAGGCGGATTATCTGAGGTAAGGAGTTCAAGTCCAGCCTGGCCAACATGGCAAAAACCCATCTCTACCAAGAAAAAAAAAATTACAGAAAGTCATAAATGCTCAGAATTGTCACACTGAAATTCGATCACTCTCATTTATAAGCAATATCATAAATGACAACTGGCAGGGTGAAAGAGGTTCTCTAGTCTTAAATCCATAGCGTGGTTGTGAGTCAGATATCTAAACTGTGTTCAGGGTTTTGCCCTTACTTTGTTATTTGCCTCATATTGTCGAAGTTCGGGATTCAGTACCATTGAAATGTTGCTCAAACAAAAAAGTTCTCTCCATTGCACTCCAGCCTGGGCAACATAGCAAGATT